TTGTACATGTATCCGCACTATACATGTATGTTTTTTGTACATGTAAGTTCATTATACATGTAGGTTAATTGTAGATATATGCTCTATTTACATGTATGCTCATTTCACATGTATGATTGTACATGTATGTGCACTGTAAATGTATGTTCATTGTATATGTGTGCTCACTGTACATGTATGCGCCATGTAAATGTATGTTTATTTGAACATGTATGCTCAATGTACATGTATGCGCACTGTACTTGCCTGCTCACTGTACATGAATGTTCTTTGTACATGTTTTCTAACTGTACGTGTATGCTCATTGCACTTGTATGCTCATTGTACATGTATGCTCATTGTACATGTATGCTCATTGTACATGTATGCTCATTGTACATGTATGTTCATTGTACATGTATGTTATGTACATATATGCTAACTTTACATATATGCTCACTGAATCTATGTTAATTGTAAATGAGTGCACACTGCACATTTATGTTCGTTCTACATTTATGCTCACTATAAATATATGTTCATTGTACATGTATGCTCACTGTACATGTATGCTCATTGTACATGTATGATCATTGTATATGCATGATCATTGTACATGTTTGCTCATTGCTCTTGTATGCTCATTGTACATGTATGCTCATTGTACATGTACATGTATGGTCATTGTACATTTATGCTCACTGTAAATGTATGTTCATTGTATAAGTATACTCACTGTAAATATATGTTCATTGTGCATGTATGATCATTGTATATTTATGATCATTGTACATGTATGCTCATTGCACTTGTATGCTCATTGTTCATGTATGCTCATTGTTCATGTGTGCTCACTCTACATGCACAATGATCATACAAGTACATGTTTTCTAACTGTACGTGTATGCTCATTGCACTTGTATGATCATTGTACATGTATGATCTTTGTACATGTATCCGCTCTATACATGTTTGTTTTTTGTACATGTAAGTTCATTATACATGTAGGTTAATTGTAGATATATGCTCTATTTACATGTATGCTCATTTCACATGTATGATTGTACATGTATGTGCACTGTAAATGTATGGTCATTGTACATGTATGCTCACTGTAAATTTATGTTCGTTGTATATGTATGCTCTTTGTACATGTATGGGCATTGCACATTTATGCTCACTGTAAATGTATGTTCATCGTATAAGTATACTCACTGTAAATATATGTGCATTGTGCATGTATGATCATTGTATATTTATGATCATTGTACATGTATGATCTTTGTACATGTATCCGCTCTATACATGTTTGTTTTTTGTACATGTAAGTTCATTATACATGTAGGTTAATTGTAGATATATGCTCTATTTACATGTATGCTCATTTCACATGTATGATTGTACATGTATGAGCACTGTAAATGTATGTTCATTGAATAAGTATACTCACTTTAAATTTTTGTTTATTGGGTGCATATTACTATTGTATACTTATGATCATTGTACATGTATTCTCATTGCACTTGTATGCTCATTGTACATATATGCTCATTGTACATGTATGCTCATTGTACATGTATGCTCATTGTTCATGTGTGCTCACTCTACATGTATGTTCATTGTACTTGTATGATCATTGTGCATGTATGTTCATTGCACATGTATCCTCACTGTACATGTATGATTGTACATGTATGCTCATTATACATGTATGTTAATTGTACATATAAGCTCTCTTTACATTTAAGTTCAATTCACATGTTTGATTGTACATGTATGTGCACTGTAAATGTATGGTCATTATACATGTATGCTCACTGTAAATTTATGTTCGTTGTATATGTATGCTCTTTGTACATGTATGATCACTGTACATGCATGTTTTTTGTACATGTTTTCTGACTGTTCATGTATGCTCATTGTACATGTATGCTCACTATACTTGTATGATCATTGTACATGTATGATTGTACATGTATGCTCATTATACATGTATGCTCACTGTATATGTAAGTTCATTGGACATGTATGCTCACTGTCCGTGTGTGCTTATTGTTTATGTATAATCCTGGTACGTACATGATCATTGAAATGTATGCTGATTGTAACGGATCGCTTATTGTTCAGGTATGTTTATTGTACATATATGCTTATTGTACATGCAGGCTCACTGTACATGTATTTTTATTGTATATGTATACTTTTTGTAAATTCACGCTATTAGTACATAAAAGTTCATTATACATGTATGCTCACTGTATATGTAAGTTCATTGGACATGTATGCTCACTGTCCGTGTGTGCTTATTGTTTATGTATAATCCTTGTACGTACAGGATCATTGTAATGTATGCTGATTGTAACGGATCGCATATTATTCATGTACATTTATTGTACATATATGCTTATTGTACATGCATGCTCACTGTACATGTATCCTCATTTTACATTAATGCTCATTGTACCTGTATGCTCACTGTACATATATGTTCATTGTACATGTATGTTTACTGTACATGTATGCTCACTGTATATGTAAGTTCATTGGACATGTATGCTCACTGTAAATTTATGTTCGTTGTATATGTATGATCTTTGTACATGTATGATCATTGTATATGCATGATCATTGTACATGTATGATTGTTGTACTTGTATCTTTATGCCTGTTTATTGTACATGTAGGCTCACTGGACATGTTTGTTCTTTGTGCATATTTTCTAACTGTACTAGTATGCTCATTGTACATGTATGTATGCTCATTGTACATGTTTTTTAACTGTACATGTATGCTCACTGTACATGTATCCTCATTTTACATGAATGCTCATTGTACCTGTATGCTCACTGTACATGTATGCTCAATATACATGTATGTTTATTGTATATGTATATTCATTGTACAAATATGCTCACTGTGCATGTATGTTCATTGTACGTGTATGTTCATTGTACATGTTTGCTTATTGTACATTTACACTAATGTTACAGTTTTTTTTATTATACATTAACGCTAATTGTGCATTTATGTTCAATTGTACGTGTATGCTCATTGTAACTGTTCGCTTATTGTTTATGCATGCTCGTGTGTTTCATTGCACATATTCGTTAATGATGAACGTACAGGAGCAATTATAATGCAAGTGCAATGGACAAACATATATGTACAATGATCATATCTGTACAACGAGCATACAGGTACAAGGAATATGCGTTATCACAGAACATATATATACACTGAAGAGAGATTATAAATGAGTGTACTTTAAACATGAACATATCTGTACAACGAAAATACACGAACAGTGATAGTCATACTAAGAGATTATGTACTATCCCGTGCTCACCAACTCTCAATGCCTCAGCATATTTCACGGCCCGAAGAGGAATCAATGATGTAGCATGTCTCCTCGTCTCTCCAAGCTCATGGTAACAACGAAAAGACAGGAACATGGCGTAAGGGAGGGATGCATCTGGAAATTGAATTCGGTCAGAAAGATATTTTATCTAACGATGTAACTGGTGTAGGCAGAATACTGAAGTTCCTGAATGTTATGGTGTATACCTTAAATACTGGCCAGATGTGCAAGTATTATATTGTTCGTCGTCTGATTGCCTTTAATGTACGTGTTGTAAACGTTCTATCAACTCCTTGGCAGGGTTCAGACACTGGGACATTGATCGAACTCGAAGAGATTCCCTATATTCCCTGAGAGCCCTATGTGTGTCTCCAACCGTTTCATAGCAGATCCCCAAGATATTGTGTACTATCCAGTGTTCACCGACTCCCTGTCTCACGACATACTTTACGGTCTGAAGATGAATCAATGCTGTGTCACGTCTCCTAGTGTCCCCCAGTTCATGGTAACACAGAAAAGACAGGAACACAGCGTAAGGGAGGGGTGGAACTGACAATGGAATGTTGTCATGGACATATTTCAACACCTGTTTTACCTGGGGTGGGCAGAACTGTAGCAGGTGTGGTGGAATCATTTCACGTTTACTTGTGATCACCTGTTGTAATTGGGATGGACAGAACTGTAAAGTGTGATGCGCGAACGTCATATTTGTTACAAATGCCTGACATTTGTGCAGTAGGTTGTACCCACGTCCACAATAGCGTTGTTCATACCTGTCCCAATCATTCATAATGTCTATGATACCATCAAGATAAATTTTGGATGACGACGTCATGTGATCACACATTTCCAGTGTTTTCATGTAGTTCCCAGTCTGATAGTAATATGTTGCCAAACCAAGAAGGCCTGGACTTGTAAACATTGTTGAAAATGGTCTTAGCAGGTTCTTGCATTTCCTAAGAGATTTGTACTTCTCTTTATTTCCTCTAGCATTGGTGTGTTCACCGAATATCTTCATCCCTTCACAAGATAGTGACTGGCCAGTAGCGCAGTAGCCCATGAATTCATCTATGTCCGACTTTGATGCTGCAAGTAGTTCTAACGACGAGATAATATCAGGAGAAACACTGATAAAACGAAATACTGCACTGCTTAATAATGCTTCGTCACGTTTAAGTTCTGAACATGTTGGTGGAGGTAGAACAAATTCTAATTCTCCTTTCCTCACCCTACGGATATGCTCTCCTATGGTTAATTCTATGCCTGCTGTTCCAACTGAAAGACAATTCCAGTTCATATCATGGAGGGCAGTGAGATAACGAAGAAGTTTCTGTTGATTTTGACCGTGAACTTTGCCAAGGAACATATTATTGTTCTTAATAAAGTAATTGGGACAATGTCCTGCTTTCACCCAATTGATCAAAATCTTCAAACAAAACATGAAACATAGAAACGTATGTTTTTCCTGCCAAAATGATTCACTTGTACTTTCTACTGCATATAATATACTTGTTTTTATAATATAGGAAGACATAATATCTGTTTCATCTAACATATGATCCAACGTTCCAGATATCTGTTTCAGGTATTTCTTAATAAGTCCATATACTAAAAACTGGACATGAGTTAAAGAATGAAAGAGTTTCCTTTCCGCAGTCGTGAATGATATCCTCCACTGTAGGGATTGGTCAGCAGCAGACGTTTTATCCCCTTCAGGGACTAGATGACAGCCACCTTGTACTATCTGATCTCTCAATTTTTTATCTGGCCAGTCATGTAGGCGTGGCCTATTCATCCACTCATTAGCTTCACTTGGCCAATCATAACAAGGAAAGGAAAATACAATATCCATTTCCGATGGTTTGTCACTGTATTCATGCTTTATTTTAACTGCTGGGCCATGACCCTCCGCATCTAACTGTAAGATACGAATCGCTATATCAGTGTGTGTCTGTCTGTATATTTCACTTGATATGAATTGTGAATCACCTATTGGAACAATAGATGGGTCAAACTGCACCTGATGAAGTAGTTCCAGGTTGACATAACCAGGTCGACTTCTTGCCTTTCTCATCATACAAACTGTTTTATTCGCGATGTCGAGATGATTACTAATATCCTGATCTGGACACAAAACTACAGCATTTCTATCAATAAGCATCCAGTCGTTGTCCGATCCCCGAGCACTCAATCCTTCTGCCCTACTTCCCGTTAAAAAAAAATCGCGTATTCTTCCTTCAGCATTTTGTAGTTGTTCCGTCACCACTACTGATCTCCTCCTGGCAGCCACTGTCTCCCGGTTCCCTATACACCTGTTTAGGATGTGATACAGAATCCACGACTTCTCGTACAGCTCACCCTGATCAGACATCTCAGTGGTATGTCACAGATCCTGTAAATATAAATATAAATAACAACGTCTTATTTTAAAAAGTAGAATATTTTACTTCTGACTGATAATAAATTTTAGTAAGAATACAATTTGTTTGATTGCTACCCTGAACAAAACCGTTTTTAAACACAAATACTACACAATTCTGTGTGGTAGACATAGCTTTAAAATATTTCAAACGTACACTATTTTCATACTTATAGCATCTGTTATTAAATGTGACGCTTAATACTTTTCTATTAACTATAATACTTCATTAGAAGCTGTTGAAAGTCAATTGATATGACCCTGATGACCATGAGAGTGACTCAGGGTTATTCATGCAGGAAAAAATAGAACCTTGCAAAATAAAATACCTAAATGAAAACTACCATTATTCTACAACTCATGGTAATACAGAGTTCATATTGACCCCCGTGACATTGAATATCTCGCCCTCATTCAGTTAAACAAGCCCACGTCACTATGCTGCAGGAAAATTATAATGAGATCAGACATTGTGATAGTATTAATCATTTGAAGCGTTATGCATATGAAATTTTACTTTGTATACGATCTGTATACAAGTGTGTCAACAAAAACAACAGAGAAATGAATCAATTGCAACGTTTAATTATTTACAAAATATACAGTATATAATACATATGAATTTGTTTAGAATGTGTTTGCTTTAGATTGTAGCCGGTCGAGAGAAATTTAAGGACCGGAATGAGCAGGTTGTTTTTACATGGATTACTTTGCTAACTTTTCTGAAACAACTCTGGCTTTCGGAATAGACAGGGTCCGGTTTATACAGGGTTTAACTACTATGATTATATAGGAATATGCCGGGACCACAAATCACAGCCAATTTAGATAGGGATCCGGATAAGTTAGGGGCCGGTTTAGACAGGTTTTACTGTGTTTAAAACCCATTACCAACACTGAGATTCGGTTGAAATGCCATATTCTTAGGTCGCGTTTATTCGGTAAAATTGATTTGAAAAAAAGCAATGCACTGTCACTAAGTGGCTAAATAAGTATATATATATATATATATAGAAAAAATAAAATTAACGACCGACTAAAAAACTTTTAGTTTTTTTGTCGGTCGTTAATTTTATTTTTTCTATATTTACTTCCTTCACATGGACTTTTAATCACTTTTTATTATATATATATATATATATAATCGCTATTGAAACACCTAAACAGAGTAAAGTAAGTATGCCCGCCCTAGGAGAGGAGGGTCGAAGCCCGGAGGGGCATTGGAGGTGAATCTTCTACAGGTTCGGTGAGTTTTAACCTTATCTGACATAGATTATCACTAGGTTAACAGAAATTGGCTAAATCTTATTAAGACTGCTTCCTTTTTAAGTTCAGAAAAAGGATCCCGAATGTCGTGTGCACACGGATTATGTTAACTATATATAAATGTAGTGGTCCCATATGAGAAATTTGTTGGCATTCGATCGGGTAAATATAGGCAAATTACTAATTAACTATTGCTTCTGAAATTAAAGTGGATTAAACTAAATCTCATTTGACACAAAATCTGCCTGGCTGAGGGTACTAAATGTTTGAGAAAACGGAAGGGCCCAGCAGGTCAAACGGTACAAATACGTTTCTATTTCTACTGAACTTGTCAGGACCATGATTAGCGAATCTAATGGGAGGGTAACGCTTGTAGTCCTGTGCAGTGTTTTTTAACGTTTATTTTAAACACAAAAGTATCATGCTTACTGCTTGACTGCAATACTCTTGACCAATTCTCAATTCCACAGATTCATGTTGTTTAAAATATATTTGTATCCAAAACCAGTCTTCAATATACAGTCAAACTTCGATGTTTCGGACTTTGCGGGACCATCGGGGAGATTAGAAACATCGGGACTTCGACTCATGATATTGAACATCGAAAATCGAGATCGTGCACAAAAAGCAGATTCTTATGTGACGAAACACAAGCTACGGAAATAACAATATTCTTTTATTTACATATGTGGTTTGCATTGTGATCTCATCTTATTCAAAATTTCTTCGTTTGTCAATTAATTTTCGAAGTCTGTACCCCGTTTTGATGTGGTCCATCACGTGCGCCATGTTACTGAGGTTGATTCCCGTTGGCCGTTTGTTTTCGAGAAAAAAACCGTTATGTGACAATCGATTTTATTAAATATCACAATGTCAGTTTATTACCTGGAAATAATGAATACCGGGTTGTGTCAACATGGTCACCAGTACTTTTCACTGGAGACAGAAACATGAACGTGAAGGTATTAAAATGACCGCGGGACATTTCATTAGCTTCGATTTATTAGTTGTAAGTTTGAAAGTGATCGAAGGGTTGTGGAATCGAGTCACGGCACGGCACTGTGTTTTATCCTTGAGCAAGATACTTTACTCCGCTCGTTCCAGTCTACTCATATATATATTTTAAATGCCTGACTATTCTCAATAATTATGTTTATTGAAGATCTAAAAGAAACTGTGGTTAGGTATACATGTAGAAAACACTAGTGAAAGCAAGTGCTTTCTTTTAAAAAGTATTGAGTGCAATCAGCCCAACAGAACTCAAAATATAAGTAGTGCATTTTATAAACTGATTTTCTATTCATATAGTAACAGTGATAGAGACCTAACCCCCGGGCCTGGAAAGATATCCCAAGCAGGCACTTTCTTTCAGGAAGCACTGGATAAAGTCAGAGTGTAATCAGCCCAAGAGAAATCAAGATATTGTGCATTAAACAGATTTTCTATTTATAGTGACCCATTGACCTTTGACCACTGGAACTGAAAAGTTTCCCCAAGCAGGCACTCTCTTCCAGGAAGGACTAGATACAATCTGAGTGTAATCAGTCAAACAGAATTCAAAATACAGTGCACAAACGGATGTTCTATTTATAGTAAGTGACCTTGACCTTTGATATCAAAGACTGAAAAGCTATCCAAAGGCTTACGCAAACATTGTATTACACTGGATAAAGTCTGAGTGCATACGGCCCAATATAGCTCCAAATATTGTGCATGAAATGTTTTTCTATTTATAGTAACATTAACCTTGAACTTTGACATCGATCCCTCAAAAGCTCCAATTTGTATCCAAAGCAAATACTTTCTAAAGTAAGAATGACCTTAACCTTTGACCTCCAAAGCAGGCACTTTCTCCGAGGTAGCACTTGATAAAGCCTGAGTGTAATCATCCCAACAGAATTCGAAATATTGTGCCTAAACTAATTTTCTATTCATAGTAACAGTGACCTTGACCTTTGACAACCGGGACAGAAAAGCTATTCAAAGCAAGCACTTTATTTAAAAAAAAAACACTGGATAAAGTCTGAAAGCAATCCAACCAACAGTACTGAAGATATTGTGCAGAAATTAAACAAGAAGCCAAATGGGCCTGTATCGCTCACTTGCTTCTATTGCAACTTTGAAGCTGATCTAGGTCATTTATGTGGATGCTAAGCTCATTACCATTTTATTCAAATATAGCACATTTGACCCCTGTGACCTTGAATGCAGATCAAGGTCATTCATTTGAACAAAATAGGTAGCCCTTCATCCCAGCATGCTACAGGCCCAATATCAGGTCTCTGGGCCTCTTGGTTATTGAGAAGAAGTTGTTTAAGATGTTAGCACATTTAACCTCTGTGACCTTGAAAAAGGCGGTCAATGTCATTAATTTGAATTTGGGCCACTTGGTTATTGAAAATAAGTCGTTTAAACATATTACCCCATTTAACCCTTGTGACCTGGAAAAGTCGGACAAGGTCACTCATTTGAACAAACCTGATAGCCCTTCATAACCGAGAGGCCCAGGTCTCTGGGCCTCGAAATTATTAAGAAGAGGTTGTTTAAAGGGGAAAGTTGACGCCCGAGGGCCGGACGAGGGCCGGACGCCGCACAAGGGCAACAACTCACTTGTCCTTTGCAGATGAGCTAAAAACAGATAGAAGGACAGACAGATGTAAAACCTGATTACTTAAGATGTGCAGGGGTCCTTACAACAAATTGTGTTATTGAATTGGAGAATCCCCCTTTGGGACCCCCNCCCCCCCCTCCCCCTAGGGAGCAAGAGTATTATGAGAGAGACCCTCTGTTTAACGGCATTCAGTCTTTTTAACCAAGTAATGCTCCAGACCATTGGTTTGAAAACATCATCAAGCCATACAGAAGGACTTCAAAGGATGTGTTTATTTGCTTGTTGGTTGGTTGAGGGAGCTTAACGTCCACACAATATCTGAGGGTGCATGATACGTGTTGCGTGTGCCTGTTTGTTGCCTCCAACAATAAATATAATTTGACATGAGGATCGAACTCAAACTGTATTCCATCATTCAAGAAAAAGTCAAGTATGAAGTTACATGTACGTATTGATGTGGAAAGTGGTCGCGAAAAAAAATACAGTTACTAATAAGAATTTCCTATGTGCAAAGGGCTATTACTCCAGAAATAGAACTTTGACACTGGATTCTGACTCAAACTGTAACCCATTATACATGTATACTAACTTACAAACAATATGGAAAACAGTTAATTATGAGAATTTCCTATGTGCAAAAGGGCCATAACTCCAGTCAAAAATGGAATGTTAATCATGGTTCAAACTCTGTAATCTATTATGATAAAGCCACATACAAAGTTTCAAATTGATATGGCAAGCGGTAGCAAAAATAAGTCCAAAAACAGTTAATTTTGATAATTTCCTATGTGCAAAGGGCCATAACTCCAGCAAAAAATGGAATATTAACGCAGGGTTCGATCTCAAACTGTAATCCATTATGATAAAGACACATATTAAGTAAAAAATTGATGTTGCAAGTGGTAGCAAAAAAGTCCGGGAAAACAATTAGTTTTGAGATTTCTTATGTGCAAAAGGCCATAAATCCAGCAACAAATGAAATGTTGACACAGAGTTTGGACTCTAACTGTAATCCATTATGTTAAAGCCACATACTAAGTGGCAAGCGATAACGAACAAAGTATGGCAAACAGTTAATTATGAGAAATTCAAATGT